GGGGAAGGAAAAAAAAAAAAAAAAAAAAAAGAGGTTAGAGTGGGAGAGAGCCAAAGCATAAGAGACTGTTGAGAACTGAGAGCAAACTGAGGGTTGATGGGGGGTGGGAGGGAGGAGAGGGTGGGTGATGGGTATTGAGGAGGGCACCTTTTGGGATGAGCACTGGGTGTTGTATGGAAACCAATTTGACAATAAATTTCATATATAAAAATAAATAAATAAATAAATAAATAAATAAATAAATAAATAAATAAACATAAAATAAAAAAAAATAAAAAAAATAAAAAAAGAAATACATATAAATTAATAAATGGTTCTTGACTCTGGTTATACATGAAAATCATCTGAGGTACTTTTACAAAGTACCAATGCTTGCCTTTCCCTCCCCCCTGGGACCTAAAATCAGAATCTCTGAAAGATGGAGCCTGGACATTGGTGTTTGTGGAAAAAAATGTTTCCCAGGCGATTTTTTTTTTTTAATTTTTTTTTTTCAACGTTTATTTATTTTTGGGACAGAGAGAGACAGAGCATGAACGGGGGAGGGGCAGAGAGAGAGGGAGACACAGAATCGGAAACAGGCTCCAGGCTCTGAGCCATCAGCCCAGAGCCCGACGCGGGGCTCCAACTCACGGACCGTGAGATCGTGACCTGGCTGAAGTCGGACGCTTAACCAACTGCGCCACCCAGGCGCCCCTTCCCAGGCGATTCTAACATGCAGCCAGGATTGAAGATCATTGGGTAGCATCCATTTTTTAATACTCTCAAGTTATAAAATGTATTCTATGTATTTCTAGGTAAAAGTGAATCCCATATACCTGAAGCTGACATTTCACTTTTGAAGCTAATTTCCTGTTGGAGAGACCAGTCTGTGCAGGTATGATATAGTGCATGTTCCTGAAGTTATTAGAAGAGTTCCTTGCTATTCCTTTCTATCCAATGAGTGGTTCATTCATACTCCTCTTAACCTGAGAGAACCAGTAAATGGGTACTGCTCTCCTCACAAAATATTTCCTCCCAGGCACTTCATTTAACAGGACTAACACAGAGACTAATAATTGAGGGAAAAAGTGGAAAAAGACATATGCAAGGATGCACCAGGTGAGGAGGTATGAATAGAGGGGCCTGAGGAGGGGATGTTCCTGTTGTTACAGGTAACTTATTGCCTATTGAAGTGTCATATTGTGGCAGAATTGTCTATTATTTGATTTCAAACTGTGCCATGACAAAAAAGTCCCTCAGCTTGAGAATTTGGTGTGTGTACTTAGGCATCATTTTTCTATCTTGAGAGTCCTCATCTGTAAGCTGCTTTAGAGAGCTGGTTTCCTCACGGCCCAATTTAAGCCCTTCCATCTCTTTTAAGGCTTTTGGGGATCCTAAAATCTTACCAAGTGGCTTTGTACATTGTACAATAAATCTAATCTGAGCATTGATTAGATGAATATTTATTGGAACTTTATTCTTCATGAGCGTAAGAAATGTCAAATTTGCAAAACAAGCATAGCAATAATTCCAATTACAAGTGTTTATTCTTGGTTATAGGAAAACAAGTAAGTTACTCAGAACACACTGTGGAGTTGACACCACAAAACCAAACAAACACAGTTGGAATGGCTATTGAAACTTCTTACCGTGGCCTACAGGTTTATACATGATTTGCCACTAACCTAACCTCTTTGCTCATCATTCCCCCGATGCTCTAAGTAGCTACATTTACCATTTTATTTTAAAAATACAGAAAGCTCATTCCCACCTCAAGACTGTTCTCTTGGGCAGGAATTCTCATTTTTTCATTCATTATTCAGGTCTTTGCTCAAAAGCCAACTGCTCAGAGAAGTCCTGCCTGATTACCCACCTAATGTCACCATACCCTCCCCACCCATGCTTCCCTCCAGTCACCATCACATTACCCACTTTTACTTTCTTTGTTGCAATTGCTTTTAATGGAAATCATACCCTTTGCTTTTTTGCTTGCTTACCTTCTGTCTTCTTGCTGTTCTAGAAACTTGCTGAGAGCAGGGACTTGGTGTGTCCCACTCACCCCTCCTTCACCAATACCCAGAAAAGCAGTAGTCACAGCAGCCTGTCAATAATAGTTAATGAATGAATGGATAGCTATTCAAAAAGCCTCTGTGACAATCAAATAGACATTAGTACATGTTGACTTTACCAGCATATTAGTAACCACACTAAGAGTCTCTGTTAAAGATAAGATTTCCACTCCTACCCCCAGCCTAACAATTCCTCAACAAGGGGAAAAAAACCTTAAGGAAAAGAATTCAACAGAAAATTTATCCTGAATTGCTCTAACTAAAGATATTTTTAATAGCTCATTTGACCTTCAAGTAAATTTTAATAGGGTTTGGACAAGTTTGGACTAATGGACCTTTAAGGTTCTATGATTCTATGACCTTGTGTAAAAGTTTGGCAGTGCGACAAATGTTACTAGAACATTTATTACTCACTCTATAGGAAGTCTAAGCTTCAAAGCTCTCCTCTTGACTCTGCCACTAACCTGATAAATAACCCGGGGATATAGGTTTAATTGTTGATTATTTATTTTATGCTTGAGATTCTCTTTCTCTCTCTCTCTCTCTCTATTTCCTCCTGCCCCTTTATCCCACTCATGTTCTCTCTCTCTCTCAAATAAAATAATTAAATTTAAAAATTTTGTTAAAAAAGAAAGAAATCCTGGAAAAGCAACAGTTAGGTTTTAGAGTTGCTAATTTGCTGATACTTCTCTAAATTTTCTGGATTTTATAATATAACACCAGTGGGGAAATCATACATCCAGGCCTCTGGGGAGTATTACTTTTCCAGGAGCTGCTGCAAACACATGAAAATTCAGTGTCAACCTGAGTGTTGAGAAAATGGTTTTATAGTGGAAAATCTGGACATTGGAACCATAAGCAGGACACAGGGGCTCTTACGAGTCTTCATGATGCTCTGCTATTTTACAGAACTTTAATGAGTCAAAGTTTTAGTAGAAAACCATTAAATTTTTTACCTTGCCTATGGCATAGGAGTATTTCTAGAAATAAGTATGTGGCCCAGATTTGTGGTTGTCTCTTTCCAGCCAGTGGATTTGTAAACCTTCTCTTAAATCTCTGTACATAAAGGTGTAATACTTTGCATAGCTGTCTTTTCAGAGAAAATTATTTATATGCATTTAGAAGACAGCTTTATAGTCATAGTGCTTTCAATTCTCTCATTACTTAAATCAAAAAGTTACATAAAATGTTGTTTAAAAATTTTATATTTTGTTGGAGTAAATTCTGTCTTTACTATTTATAAAATGTATCTACTATATTTATATACTAGAGGGATTTAAGTATTGATAGACAGAAATTATCAATAAAGCCTACTTTCCACACTTTCTACTTTTGAATGCAGAATCTATTTCAATTCCATTGGCATTTATTTAGTACCCACTGTATACCAGATATACACCAGATACACACAGCTATACCAGATATACACCAGATACACACAGATATCACCACTGTGATAACATTATTACATGCTTATAAGATATACCATCTGTCTGTGGATTGGAGGCATGCTGAGTATTGATTTCACACTGAGCACAAAGTGTGTGTTTGAGTTTGTTTCTAATTGGGTGTACACCATTCAGTATTCACTTTTAAGTTTTATGGTTCTGAGTATCCTACTGATTATGGTTTAATATGTTTTATTCGATTATTTATGCTTCCTCTTATTATTCAATGATACTCATACTCTTTACTCTTGCAATATGCATTGGTAGTGACAAATATGTCAAAAAGCCCCCAAATTAAATAGTTAAAAAATATGGTCATGATATATAAATCTATATAAAGTAATTAGGAACATTCAGTGAAATTGCATACATCCCTGTATATTTTTAGGAAAGAATATTGACCCAAGTTGTGATAGGATATTATATCCAGTGTATAGGACATTCTAACTGCAATTGTAAGTGCCTCAGAGATGGTAATCCCAGTGTGAGAAGGGAGACATGATCCCATGGGAGCATGTGGCCAAACTGCCCATTCTGAAGCACAGACCACAATCCAGATCTATTCCAGGATATCCTTCAGTATCCTCCTGATTTATAGGTGGAGACAGAAGCAAATTCCATACAGGTTTCAGTGATTGAAAGCTCTCATCATAGCCTCACCCACCATCACAGTCTTTGTTTTATAAGTGAGCACATGAAGTCCCAGAGTAGTACATGACTTGGCAAAAGTTGCCTTTGTGATAATTGTCATAGTTGGATCAGAAACTCGGGCTTTCTCATTTCTGATTCAGAGCTCTTTCTGCCACATCTTGGAGGCAGTGCTGTCAAATAAAATGTGTGACAGAGTTAAAACGAAATAAATTCAGTGATGTAAAACTGTTCATCAATAATTGTCTGTCCCATCATATGACATACCTAATAAGCATGGTTCTCTTAATATAATATGGAATAATATGTTAGTAAATATCATATCTAATAGTTCATATATATCTCATCACACGGTAGATATTAACAGCCATGGCTCACCAGTATTGTGATATACAGAACTGCATGCTGAAACCATGGTGTGCAATGGCTATCACCATGTTGAGTATCTCGTCACATGATGTACATGAGCAAGCATCATGTCACAGGCTATACTGTGACAGGAGATACTGCAGTATTAGTAGCCTTGATAGGCAATAGTAAAATCACATCTGTCATTAGCCTTTTTGTCCACAACCGGACCAAGCATTTGAGTATGAGCATTTGAGGAGACAAGAACAGGGGGGGATGGTCAGGGATCAGGAAGCTGCCCTGAGACTTTTGTGTAGCTCCCTATATGTAAAAGTCAAGTGCCTTTATCCTGCCATGGCAGTTCAGTGAACATCTGCCATCAGCATAAGTTCTCTGAGTGTCCCTGGAGCCTGGAGATAGCACATGCTACCACAGCACTTACAAGAGACTGAACAAATATTTAGATGAATGCCTTTTCTGCTTTTGGTGTCGGCATCTCCAGATCAGTAGGCTCAGTTGGTGCTGTCCCAAAGCCCTAGCTCTAGGCATCCTGTGGGTAGACTGGGGATAATGCAGAGGGGATAGTGGCAATGGTGGATGAGTAATCTTGACAGAGGTCAGGCTTTTGAGGGGAAGAGGAGCAGGCATTGGGGTGTGGCTGTAGGAAAGGTTTAACTGTCAGCCAGAGGAAGATAATGGGAAAGTGTCCCAGGGTCACCTAGGTCAGAGATGTCCTTCCAATTCTCTCACTGACTCAGCTCTTGGCTTTCCTTGAGTTCTAGCTAACTGCTGGACCTTGTCTCCTATCTTGCCAGGAAGAGGCCAAGGTACATTGTCGCTGGCTTTTTACTGAGGAGTAAGAGTATAGAACCTTGGGAGGACATATACTACAAAGGATACAGAATTAAGGGTCAGAAGACCTGTCCACCATATCTTTGTGGAACTTGGGATGTCATGTCTCAGGGTTTCCATTGAAAAAAATGAAGACATTGGATTAGATGCCCTGTGACAAGCATTCCCCTCCTGGTTCACCCAATCAAAGATCCTTCGCTGGACATGTACAATAACTGGAAGGCAAGCTTTGCAGTATTTTTAAACTGTGCAAAACCATGTGCACATATACACAGTTTAGTGAGATTTATTCTTAAAATCTTGCCTTTAGCTTTCTGTATTAAACCTAGTTAAAGTGTTTTTAGCTAAACAGTGCTTTAGAGCTAGACATTATTTGAGGAGCTAAACTTGTCTTTAAGAGCAGTATAATACATTCACATTAATTTTCTTTGCCTTCTGGTGGAAATGAAAATACCTTAGGAGAAAAAACAAAGAACTGCTTCCAACTTTTCCTTTCAGAATCTCTTTTTTTTTCCCATTAAAAATCTGTGCAATTTATTTTTTTCACAATGTGTAAAAAATTTATTTTTATTTTTTTATATTAAATATAATTTATTGTCAAATTGGTTTCCATACAACACCCATTGCTCATCCCAACAGGTGCCCTCCTCAATGCCCATCACCCACTTTCCCCTTTCCCCCACCCCCATCAGCCCTCAGTTTGTTCTCAATATTTAAGAGTCTCTTATGGTTTGCCTCCCTCCCTCTCTATAACTGTATTCCCCCCCTTCCGCTCCCCCCATGGTCTTCTGTTAAGTTTCTCAGGATCCAGAATCTCTTATGTTTGCTGAAGGGTGACCGTTTGGGTTCCAGTGCTTAGTATCTGCATTTCAATGGTTTCAGAGGCTAATTGTAGTGGAATGGAGCATTACAATTTATGTGAAACCTATTTAAGTCAGTTTTATATAAGACCCCAAGCATTTGTAATAATATTAAAAAATATATTTAAAAAAATCTTTATAGGTAACTGAAGCAATACAAGCTGTTCTCTTGGCAGAAGTTCAACAGCACATGAAGACCTTGAGTAAGAGAGCAGGCAACAGTCAACCAGTGTCCATGACAGAGGATGTTCACTGTGAGATGAGACAGATTCTGCAGGAGACGGAATGGACCCGGGAGGAGGTAGAGTTACACTGTACTACAGACACCTTGCCTCTGCAAAGTAAGTGCAAAATTTATGGACATGCACTTTCATCAGAACTTTTCTACTACTTAGAGCGCATTGAGAATATGAGTTCACAATATATCATTTCTGCAAAGACCGAGCCAAGTGCCCTGCTTCTGACCTATTCTGCTATCAATTTCTTCTTATAATTCTCAGGTTTCTAAAAAATTTCTAAATTCTGTTATAATCAATAAATACTTCCCAGAACAAAAATTTATATTGTTTATTAAAATGTTTTTAAATGAAGTAATTAAAAATGAAAACAGGATTAACACTATTGGCTTAATGGGATATACATTTTAAGAATACCTTGATAGTAATGGATCTAAATTTGTTTTCATTTGATACCTTGATAATAGCCATGTGCCTGGTTTCTTTTCCTTTTCTAAAAATAAGAAATGTAGTACAAACTGAAATTAAACTCATTGATAGGTGGACCACTTGATTTTATAACAAATTTTGTCATTGTAACTTCATGATGATAATGTGTATGGTTCATGGATAGCAATTGAATCTCAATTTCTGCTGCAAAATGTTACCTGATTTTTCAGTCCATTCACTGTGGCTTAAAAAAATAAATAAAAAGCAATTTTTAAAAGTAAAAATATAATTTTCAAACTCACTTAGTAAGCTTTTGCTTAACAAATTAATTTATGATCAAATATATATATTTTTTCAGGGAAAACACATTACAAATTTACTTGTTCCAGGTTATTAAAAATTATTAGGTATTTCTTTTAGCTTTCAAAAAGAGATTTTCTTTTTATTCATTTGGGACTCAGAGAAATGGTACCATATTTAAAATGTTAAATCCTAGGACAGGTGTCATTCTTAAAAATATATTACATTTAGTTCTTATTATTTTTATAAGATTACTGATTGGATAGCATTATGTAGTGAGAGAGGATATGTAGCAGAGAGAGGCTTCTTCTGGAAGGCCAAATATCAAAATAGATAGAATATTTCCTAATGCCAAGACAGGCACTGAGGATGGTCAATTCAATAAGCAATTTGAAAAAGCTCAATGGCAATTTCAAGTCATTTGTTTGTCTGTTGTCCAGAAATTAGTTTTAATTATCTGATAAATTCACCCAGTTGCAGGAGCTCCTTTTTGATCATATCACATAATTGTAGTTGTATTACACCTTTCAAGCAAGAAGAGAAAAATTCCTTTCTAAATTAATTTTCAGTGAGTGCATGTGGGTTCTTGATTCATTCGGCAAGCACCCACAGGGTCATTAATACATTTCTTCCAACTCCCCAAAGACAGCTAGTATCATTCATCATGTGTTAACTGTCATTATGTGGCATTTATATGCTTTATCCCTAAGTTTGACTGTCTAACTTATCCTTTGGCCCATAGCCCTCTTTTCTTGTTGAGAAATTCATGGCAGGTTATCAAGGTCAAACTTTTGATAAGTTTTGCTGTCACATAGCTTATCCATTATTTGAAGTTTCACTAGATTGGGCCCTGTTCTGTCCCCAACTAATTCTTGGGTATTGGAAATATACTATGGAATTTAGTCTTATTATGACTGAAGACATCTGGAATTTAAGTTAGATAATTAACTATCTTAATATCTAAGATATTATTGATCATTATTGAATGATCCTTTGCCAATGTTAAAAAAAAATTAGAGTTAGTTTGTGATAATTGGTGGATGAAATTTGGAAGTTTTATTTAAAAGAAATAAGACATTACCAAAATGCTGAGCATGTATCTTCTTGGGAAATAGGGTCTGTTGGAAAATACTAACCATGATTGAAATTAATGGAAACATATAACATGCATTGAAGAGGAACATTTCCAAGCAATATTATGTTGGGTATTAACATTCCCTTTCTTTCTCTCTTTTTGGAACAAAACAAAACAAAACAAAACAAAACAAAACAAAACAAAACACCTATGTTTTAAAATATTCAGAGGAACTTAGTCAAATTACAAGAAAAGTTTTGGACCTTTATTATGTGGTATATAATACATTACTTGTTGGAATTTTAAAAATAGGTAAGGAAAAAGCTATTTTATTTATTTCAGATATTCTAATTCAAAGGTTAAGGAAAAGGAAATGATGTAGTAACTACTCACCAGGTGTGATTATTCCTTGAATTTTATAGGCAGATTTACTTTGACCCAGTGTCACCACACCTATCACCAAATATTCTTATGATAAATGATTTATGTTGTTTTATTTTCAGGTCCTTGCTCATTTGTCCTCTGTGAGCTCCCATCCAACTGCCCCCCCCCCCCATTTCTTTTATTCTTTCTTGGTTTTTTGATTTCTTAATGCATCTTATTTGTAAATCATTTGGAAATTAACAGATGATGCCCTTCTTATGAACAGATATTCATAAACTTCTTTTATGCCAAAGTGGGGTATATTGAGTTTATTAGCATTATAGCAATATGGCAATAATATATTATAAGGAAAAATAGCAACAATTATTGTTTTCTTAATACACTCCAACACTATGCTAAGTACTTTATGAATGTTAACTCACTTTTTCCTTTAATTCTCACCTAATTCACATGAACCCTGTCTCTCTTTCCAAGATTTGAGACATTTATGTAAACAGTTTTACATTTTTTTAAGTGTCCATGTTCAGGGAAATGAAGTTTCTGAGTAGCTCTGAAAAGAAACTACTCACTGAAAAAGAGAGATTCCCATGGTGCTACCTAGGCTTATCTTGAAAAATTACCTCTGTATGTTTTTTGACATATTAATTATGTATCTTTCGCAGACACATTAAAATAAATAGTATTTGTAAAAAAGTCTATCACTATGCCAGCTTTCTTGAATGCCACTGGTGGTGTGTATCTTGTACTTTGAGACATTGTTCATATTATGATCCCATTGTTCAAAACTGGATGAAGTGGGGCTTAAAAGAGTTTATGTGCCTTGTCTAGAATCACAAAATAAAAACGGGGAGGCAAACCCAGATATTCTCTTAAACACTGTGTTCTAATCCAGTCAACTGCATTTTCCATACTGGCAGCATGAAGGAAATTTGCTCTAAATCAGCATGATCTGAAAATTAAATAATTTATTGAATGGTTTTCTTAGATTTTTATTCTCCTCTCATAAATCATACTTTCTATTACCAAAGAAAATGCAGATTGTTCAATCATTGCCATCTCAGCCCTCATAATAAAGAAAATCACCAGGTTTCTTGAACTATTTGAACATGAGATGCATCTACAAAGCAATGGAAATCAAGTGAAGTGAGAACTGAAGTATAATGTGTGTTTGAACTTTACAATTTTGTATCTTATTTATTTTCAGTGTTTTCACTTGTTATATTTCACAGCATGTATTTTACTTGAGATATTAATATTTGTGTATCAGTATTTTATGGGAGAGTGCTGGATTTTATCTGGGTTTACATTTTATAACAGTTACATTGCTCTCCTCCTTAATCTGTCTAATAGGAATTTGCAGAATTAACACTCACATTTGAAACTAAGATTCATTGCTTTAAAAACAGCAATGGTTTCTATTATTAAAATGCATTTGAAAGTTATTTCCTTTTATTGTTCTTAATGTTATCTGGATCAGTCGAAACAAGTGCTCTAAATTGTTCCATCAAATAAATTGGTTGAAATAGAAATGGAGGCTTTGTAGATAAAACTGCCACTTGGAAATTATTGGCTGAATTTAAATTTATGTTAAACTGTGTGGTTGTGAAAATGATGCATCAAATATGGGTATTGCAAATAATCTTTACTACATGCATCATTTTCAAAGACTTATCTACAAAATTAAATAATGAAAATGTGTTCTTTGTTTAAATAAAACCATGCATTTGTGGTAAATAAAGGTAAATAAATTCAACAGAAAAGTTTTCTAGTCCTAGTGGCCATCAGCAAAAGGACTGGATCAGGACAGGTTTCCTTCTGCCTTTTGAATTTCGCAGAAGGAAATCTGTCTAGTAGTGGAAAGGCTTTGAAATAGAGTTGACTACCTCACAGGGAAACTTTCTTGACTTTCTTTATTTCATTTTATTAAAATTTTTTTTTAATATTTATTTTTGAGACAAAGAGACAGAGCGTGAGTGGGGGAGGGGCAGAGAAAGAAGGAGACACAGGCTCCAGGCTCTAAGCTGTCAGCACAGAACCAGATGCCAGGCTTGACCCCACGAACCACAAGATCATGACCTGAGCCAAAGTCTGATGCTCAAACAACTGAGCCACCCAGGCGCCTCTTGACTACCTTTATTAATAGCAAATGCAACTTCCACCCTCTGTGAACTCCCCAGGCTAAGTGAGAAGGCCAATGCATTCCTCTTTAAGGCTACAGAAGCCATTTAGGATAGGTCTGTGTGATGAGCATAAGCAAGAAGCAGAAATGTAATGGGAGATATATCATTGAAGGCCTTGGGTGTCATAGTAAGGTCTTAGGCTTTCTCTCTGAGAGAGATAGGAAACAATTTGAGCAAACAAAGGACACATATTTTTAATGTTGTCTCCAGTTCAAGGACCAAGGAGAGAAGCAAGGAGACCAGTTGGGAGGCCATTATGATAACCTAGATGATGGCAGCTTGGAACAAATATGGTGGCTTGGATGAAGAAGTGATCAGATTATGAATGTATATTGAAGTGTAACTTACAGTATTTGCTGATGGGTTAGATACAGATGAATAAGATCATGAAAGTCTATACTTAAGTTTTTTTCAAACAAAAAATATTTGATATATGGGTTGACTTGGGTATCCTGACTTGACTCTTATGTCAGGTAGTGCAGTGTCACTCACAAGTGGTATTCCAGGTGTGCTGAAGGAAGAGTGGAAGACCTACTTTACAGAAGGCTGTCCCTACTGTGTTCAGTTTTAAGTGTCCCTGCCTAGATGACCCACAGATTTTATTTTCTAGTATTAACTAAACTAACCCTCAGAAAATGGACAAGAATTTCTTGCCAAGAAACCATGGACTGAAGATAATACTGGTAGTGCAAGCTTAAGCAAATAAGATGTAAGTGGCATTGCCAAGTTTATCTTAA